AGCCATTAAATTGCCTTCAATTGAGGTGTCGGCTGTTTCAGTTTCTGAAATCAGACAAGATCTACTGTCTTCTTTATGTACCAATTTATAGCAACATATTTTAGAGATGCAAGTTATCAAATATATTTAGAACAATATATTTTAGGGCTGCAACTTATTAAATATATTTATAGCTCTATATTTTAGGGATGCAACTCATCTTTTCGCCACTGTAAATGAGGATACCACCTCAATGGTTAATCAGTTTGTTTTTGAGTTTACAAAATGTCAAAAAATTGTAAAAAAAATTAATAAAAAATACATCACAATTCCTCAGAATGCAATGCGAGGTCTTAAAATTGTTTAGTATAAAACCTACATACATTTACAATCATATAAATCAGTGAGAAGCAGTACATTTGGGATACGTTCGGCACATTTGCTAAAAAGATGTCAAAAGTTTAGTAACTTTCTGTCAATAGTTTAATTGGTTTCACCTCTAATGCTTACATCACTATGACATAAACTCTTCTTTTCTGACGATGGGGCGGAGCCTGGTTAACAAATCACTAAATCTAATCTTGCTTGTATATAGAAAATCAATACAATAAAGAATCATTACCAGCAAATACTTCAGCTGAAACTTTTGGTACACCTTTCTGCCTCCACCCCAATACAATGAGGTCTAACAGAATATGGTTTGTGGTGTTCACAGAATTGAAAAAAAATTATTTTATTCACAGTGTGTCTTTTTGGAATCAGTGTCTCCATTGCTCTGGATAATATACAGACTGCAAAGAGATGTGAAAATCTCAGAGACGAATATCTAAAAAACATAAAAATACATGTATCCCAAAACCTGGGGAAAAAAACACAAAAACTATCTCCATGGCTACACAGAACTACAAGTGAGAAAATATGTTTTTTGGTCATGAATCAACCCTTTATACTTAGCTCAACGTGTTCCTGTTCCAACAGACCTTTCATTTCTAACCAAACAGACTGCTTGTATGAGATATGCGACTCATAATCTTTCTTTTCCGTGTCTGTCAGTCATTCTCTGTTTCCTACATCATACCTGTATTACTGATAACTGTTCTTCGCATCTATAGCTCTCATTCCACCTCCCTCCCTCCATGAATGGGCCCTATACCATGGGGATATCTAAACAGGAATGGCACAAAGGGGGGTTTTCTTCCAGTTTCTTAGTACAGTAAGCCCCCCACACACATACACACACACCCAAAGGCACACATACACACATTCCCCCTGCTTGCGATTTTCCCAAGACAAAAGAAAAAGAGGCAGCTAATATATTTGCAGCTTTGCGAGAGGGGTGGGGTGGAGTGGGGAGGAATCTGCTGCTAGGCTGGGCTTGGCAGACAGTGGTGTATGTGTGTGCGCTGTTTATTGTGAGTGGAGACAGGGGTATCACTCAGTGAGACAGAATACTCTGGGTTCCCCCAGCGGACGATCCTGCTATCACCGCACCACAACACTACAACAGCACACAGCAGCACTGTGCAGCTTTGCACCGTACCCCTGCTGAATAGCACGGTACAGCAGGGAAGAGCAACAAACTTTGCAGCACAGGGCGACAATCTTGCGTTTCTACTCTTAAAAAATAGGCCTAAACTTCACTTTTATTCCTGCTCTAGCCTGATTCTTTTAGAAATAATTGTGGTGGGTTAAGTTATATATGGTTGAGGCATACAGCAGGTACTGGGGGGATTTGACACGTGACAGATCGTACTATGTGGGCTAGGCTTGACTGTCTCTAGCACATACATGCATGCACCTCCCTCTTGGCCACTCACCATCAGTAAAAAGGGGAAAACCAGCTTTTAAGATCACAGCAAGTGGACAGAATGATGTTAACCAGTTTTTTTTTTTTAAAGCGTCTTTTATAAAAGGATTAAATGCTAAACTCAGCATCAGCCATGGTGTTTCATTTTGGGTGTGAACTTCATGAGCAATATTCATTTTCCCATATGCTTGCAAAAGGATGCAAGTGGAGGGGGGGGGGGGGGGGGAGGAGGGAAAGAGCAAAATGCTGAAAATAAGAAACTATGAGACAAAAAACAATAGAGAATGTGAGAAAAAGGTAGACAGAGAGACTGACCAGAGTGAAGGAAGGAGAGATGGAAAAGGTATTCGATGGACGGACACAACAGCAGAAGGAGGGAGGAAGAAAGGGGAGGGAGGGAGGGAGAGAGAAGCAGCTCAGTTCATGCCCCTCTCCCCATGCAGCGAGGACTCATCCCTGGGGGGACTCAGACTTTAAGCCCCTGCCCTGCTTTATATTCCCCTGGCTACTGCAGCCAGATCAATCTAGCTAGCTACCCGGTGTAACTCAACCCAGTTCAGTGCAGCCTGGCCCCCAGAGCCCTCTACACAGGGTGTAGTTTTAGAAGGAATGGAGGCTGGTGGCAGGCAAATTTGTAAATGTACCACTGGTATACCCATATTAGAAGCAGACTTTAAAAGGACTATATCAGTGTTTTTGCATGTGTTTGCCCATTACTACAATTCACATGTACTTTACATTACTGTCAGCTGGTTTCAAAGCATGTCATACTGTTTTAAGATTTCTGAATGTGTTTTTTTACTGTATAATACATCACAGTGCACATTGTGCCAGCTTTTATTTTTTTGTCAAAGTTAATTTATTATTTCCTGGTAATGCAATTTGTAAGTGCAGACTGATTTGAAAAGCCTGCACTGCATTACCACACAAAAA